ATAAAAATAGAAATAAGTCTTTTTTTCTACAACTATGCTAAGAATGATTAAAAACAAACTCAAAGTAAGATACACCTTCTACCAGAGGGGAACAGGGAGGGAGGGAGGGAAGGAGGGGCAGAGACAGATCTATACAGAACATTTTTAACACCAAAACGATCAGATAAACAGTGGGCATCTCTTCTAGCAAACCATTGTGGGAATTCAGGAATGGTACTCTCAGGAACCCTTCTAACCCTTTAGAACTTGGTATCTATAACAGTTTTCAACACTGCTGACCCAAAGCCAGGGTGTGATACCGATCTGCTAAACACTCAAGTTTTGCCTTAATGGCCACATGCTATAAGGAAACGGGTTAAAGCATGCCATGATGACCTGAGACTGAAGCTTTCTGCAGCTCTCGTGAGAAGATGCTGCTGAGCCAACTGTGGCTCTCTTTCCTAATCTCACCAAGGAAGCACAGACACACACACAAAGACCTTCCTCATGGTGTGTTTATCACAATATATTTGTTAATCAGTGATTGTTCAAAAATTTTTTAAGCTGACCTTAACAAGTATAGTTGTATCTTGTTATCTGTGGGGCATTGATTTTTACCAAAATCCAAGGACATTCGAGGCCCTTAAAATAAAATGGCACATCTTCCCAGTGAATGGTGGTGAATGTAGTCGCATGGCTACTGCATGACACTGACAGACAAGGGCTCAGCCATAAGTAAGGCACTTACAGAATCCCCTCTAAGACTCAGTAAACACAGCAGAAGAGGAGGCAAGACAGATATAAGCTAAAACACAGGAAGAATGGCTGTGAAATGTCATCTTCCGCTCAGAGGTCTCAATGAAAACCAAATATAACTAATTCTTCCTAAACTACAGTCAGTGTTTTCACAAGCTCTAAGAATATCCCAAGCATAAAGAAAAAGAAGCTTCAAAGCATTTGTGTATCTTTGGGCTCCATTACTATTAACATAATATATAACGTTCATCCACTCATCTAGAGAATTTCACTACACCCTGTCACATTTCTAGTGTTAGGATTGCAAAGTTTAGATGCCAAACATAGAAATAAACATTTAAAGACTTTAATAGTATAAAATAATGGTATGTGGGTAAGAAGAAGATACTTTCGATAAGGCCATCAAAAGCTCAGTGTGGCTGGTGCAGTGGCTCACCTCCACAATCCAAACACTGCAGAGGTGGAGACCAGGTTTGGTTTAAGATCATCTCCCATTAAATCAAGAGCTCAAGGTCTGTTTGGGGTACTTAAGATGATCTCTCAAAAAGTGAGGATGGGAAGAGAGTTCCCCTGAACCGACTCTAATGAGCAAGCATGGCAGGGGAGACGACACTCTAAACAGAGCTTTTGTTTGTAAAAAGAAAGGCTACTTCTTACAGAGGCTCTCTTGTTTTAGTTTCCTCTACAGCAATTTTTCCATGACTGACTCACTTTCATCATGAACTTATTAGTATAAATGTCACTTTTTCGGATATGAGAAGAATAACTGACTAACATTCTGCATTTTTTTCCTAGGTAAACTGGAGAGAACAAAATATTAAGCAAAAAAGTTATCAACTTTTTCAATGTTGCTTATTTGTTATCGTCCATTCATTTAGGGAACCATCTAAAAGGTTTATAGAGTAGACTATACGGTGCTCAGAATTGAGATCAACTGATAGCAACCAGCCTAGAATGGCTGAGATGAAGAAAAGGGAGGAAGGGGTAGTCTAGATAAATTCTGAAATAGAGACAAACCATCATTGAGATACTCATGTTGCTGTAGGTAGCAGGTGGGAAAAAATGAACTTGCAAGAAAGTTAGGATGAGCTCTGTGTCTTCTACTTAGACTGTCATCTCTATATGCACTATGAAAGAAAGACAACTGGAAAATGGTAGCAACAGCTACATAATTGCTAAGACTAAGGTAGTGTTTTATCACATGCAAAAGGTAAGAAGAAACTGTCTGTATGTTTTAGAGATAGAGTACTGTCTCCAATGAGAAGTGTACATGGTAACATTATTGTGTCATTTGTGCTTGCATTCCCATAATGTTCTGCTTTCAACAGGGGATGGAGATCTTTCTGGGTATGTGGCTGCTTTGTGTCATCTAAGCACTAGACTTCATCTAAAAAATTACTGGACTAGTCTTTCAGCTTCTGCCACCTTGGTACAGCATGCCCTTAAGAACAACTTTAAAACACTTACTCATGAGCATATAATGACATAGAAATGTCAACCAAAAAGCCACAAACCCCATCCTCTTAAGCTTTTCAGGAGTGGGTGAAGGTGGGAGGGGGAGCACATGGGACAGTGGATTCTTAATTGCCAAGTTCTTATACATTTCATTAGAGAGGACTGATTAATACAATATAAAAGTCACATTGTTATAAGAGATTGCATACTGTCTTTAGAATTCACCTCAGAGAAGAAAAACTAGTCTACACACTTATTCTCGTTCCATCTTTGGGGTAAGCTCTCATGTAACCCAGGTCAGCCTCAAACTCACTAAGGGTCGGGTTGACCTTGAATTTCCGATCCTCCCGCCTTACAACCTTCAGTGTTAAAATTGCATCATGTGCATATAGAAACTAGAAGACAATCTCTGAAATCATTCCTCAAGGACTTCTCAACTTGAATTTTTAAGATGGGGGTCTCTCTTTGGCCTGTGGCTTACTGACAGGGCTATGCTGGCTGTTTAGCCAGGGCCAAGAATTCACTTGTTTCTGCCAGCCAGCACCGGGGTCACAGGCACATACCACCATGTCTAGCTTTTTTACTTAAACCTGGGTTCTGAGGTCTGAGCTCAGGACCTCGAGCTTGTACGGCATGTACTTTGGCAATTGAACCATCACTCCAACATGCTACTTTAGATATTTTTAAAAAGCAATATAAACTAGCTTAAGGATGAAAAAATATTCATTTACCACAATGTCAAAGTGACAAACATTTACAGTCTATATAAGTGACTAAGAGTTTTAAAGATTTTTAAGATGAACTCTGGTACAGTTCTGATCAACTGTCTGTAGTCATCTGTTCTCTACCCTGGTTTCCACACAGGAGTTAGGAATGCTTATTAGGTGACACTGATAGATGAGATAAGGAAGGAAGGGAATTGACAAGTTAAACAGGATGACTTAAGGCCTTACTATACGACCTGTGCATTATGGGTAGTTAATACTGGGACTGCGATGGTGAAAGAAAAAAAATTACATGCCGGGCGGTGGCGGCACACGCCTTTAATCCCAGCACTTGGGAGGCAGAGGCAGGCGGATTTCTGAGTTCGAGGCCAGCCTGGTCTACAGAGTGAGTTCCAGGACAGCCAGGGCTACACGGAGAAACCCTGTCTTGAAAAACCAAAACAAACAAACAAAAAAAATTACAGAGTACTAACACAAGATAAGAAATTCTATTTGCTAAAATGTTATAACTAGACATTATAACCAATTCACAAGCTATGGATCTGTAAGTCTTAATTTGTGGACCTTTCTATTTTAAAGTGAAACATTTTAAGAAAATAATTATAAAAATTCTACACATATGTAGAATATATTATAGTTCATACTATATTATGAAAACAAAATATTACAGAATACAGAAGAATGCTAATTTATTTCATACTTAGAGAATACTATACACATGTCAAGGAGCAGTTAAGGATCACATTATTTAATCCTCGAAACAATCTTAAAAAGAAACAAATGACTTTATAGATAAAAAGAATGAAGGTAGACAAATTGGTCAAGATCATACGTCAATAAAGTTAGAAGCAAGATTTAAATGCGTGTCTAAATCCAACTCAACATATAACAACAGGATGAAGACAGATATGGAATAAAAGAGAACAGTCGTCTGTGTAATCCACTGACGCTATCACTGGGAGTAATTACCTCATTCACTAGAGCTTCCCTCAGCCAGGCATGGTGTTGGCCATTTCCTCACATTACCTCCTTTAACATCCTTGGTTATATGAAACACTTATTGTCATGTTACAGATGAGGAGACAAACTTGACTTTACAGTCCAAATCTTTAACTATAATTTCACCATGTATAATACTTTTATGTTACTGAAATGAAGCTTTTAAAATATATTTAATCATTTGAAAACCATATTATTTTATTTTAGCTATATTTCAATATAGCTATTTTATGTGTGAAGCACATAAAAGTTATTATAACAATATGAGCAAGGCACAGGCCAGTGACATGATTCAGTGACTTACTGCTAGGCTTGATGACTGACACTTGATCCCCAGAGCCTACATGACTGAAGGAATCAACTCCTGCAAGTTGTCCTTTGACCTTTACACATGCACCCTGACTCACACACACACACACATACACACACACAAACACACACACACACAATGAATACATGCATTTAAAAAGTTATAAAAAAATAAAACTAATAATTCATACACAACTACAGGAAAAAACTTCATCAACGTATCCTTACTTTGGAATGGCAACTTTAAATAATGTTTTAATTCAAATCACTTTACTCTTAAAGAGTATAGAAATTAAAAATGGCTTTAAAATAGTTTTGAAACATATTTGTGTAGGAAAAAAACTGCCTGCAGGAAAGTATAAATTAATCCACTGCTCCACTTTATACCAGTAGATAAATATTCCATTATTCCCTAAAAATATATATACGCTTTTCTTTGAAGAAGTGTTCAATACAAGTTTATAAAATAGGAAAAACAGATCTTGGGTGTAGCTCAGCAAAACAGCACTTGCTTAGCATGTGTAAGAGCCTAGGTCTCATCTCCAGTAACACACACACACACCACCATACTAATCCTTATCATTCTGAAAAACAGCTTGCATAATTTGAGAAGTACTACTTTTCACTTTCCTTATACTATATGCGTCCATGTTTCCAGGCATCTAATCCAGAACATACCTGTTCTTAAATATCTAAACCATTCACTTTACTGTAGAAATTACTAAAGAACTTAAAAGCATAGTCCTAAAAACTATCTTTCAAATAAACAATTAAAACAAGGCTTCCCATTTTAATTCCTGTGGAAAATGTCACTGGCTTCATGGATCTGGGCTTCTCAAGCTGCATTTCCAGCTGGGTCGACCTGTCTTTATGCTGGGCCAGAAGCAGAGCAACAGGGAGGTCGGAGCTCTCCTGAAACAAAGTTCAATATGAAATGTAAGACAGAAAGAAGAAAAAGCAACAACACTTTCAATTATGTCTCTTCTATAAGCATTTGATGTTGACCTAAATATTCACTTTATATAGAACACTTTACAAAATAATATTAACATTCCATAATAAGAAAAGGCTGCTGTAGACTTATAAATCAAAATAACCTGCAAACAAGAATTTTATAAAATGTACATTAAAGAGAATATAATAGGGTCCTATTTCATGCAGCCACCAACCCATTTATTAAAGAAAGAAAGCTAATTCCAAAAGAACAGAAGAGCTATAACTTAGACCAGAGGTTTACCTGAGACACGTTCTTTTCACCCAGAGTTTAGACCATTTGAAATGCTTCCCATTAGATTTCACCTGAGGCAGTTGCAAATAATCCTTGTTCTGTTTTGCACAATGGAACTATTTTAAGTACCACCACATGTGTATTTGTTTATTTTATCCTTTATTTTTAAATTTTAAGTCAAATTTTAATCAAGTAACAAAATGATAAACATTTAGTATCATACATCAATACTACCCAGGACCACTGTTTATACAAATCTGTACATGCTCATATTCTGAGCAGCAAATTGCTTATGCTAACACAATCCTAACACAGAGACTGCTATTTATCCTGTTGAGCAACTACATGCTTGAGATGCTGTGACGCTAAGGTCTAAGTAAATGATACTAGACGTCTATCGTTCTGAGCTGTCAGTTAAGGAAGAACCCAGAAACACATGCAGAGAAAGAGTACAAGAGTATATACTCTATGTGTGGAAACAAAGGGAATAAAAACAACCAAAACACAACAAACCCCACCACTCTTCTACTTCCTACACTCAAGTTACATGTGAAAGGCAAGTATAAGGCCAGCCTGGGCAATGTATTGAGGTCATCTAAAAATAAAAAATAGAGAAAGGAACGCAGCTCAGTGATGCAGTGCTGTGCCTAGAATATCTGAAACTCTAGGGTCATGCCATGAGGCCACCAAAAAGCAGGGTACTGAGTATTAAAAATAGCAGTCACCGAGAATTTAATCCTTAAGAAACTCCTCCACTAACATCTCATAATATAAAGCAAACATTACCACTGGTTCTCATTTTTCTTCCAACTCTAACCCATTAGTAATTTTAGGCACAAATGTGGCTGATTAATACAATTAAAGTAACTTTTAAAGTTTCAGCACAGAAGCACTAACAAACAACTCAACTGAACAGAATTGTTTGAGGATAAAGATGCACATCAATGCTAAAAATTGCATTTCTTCTCTTTGTGTGTGTGTGAGTGTGTGTGTGTGAGTGTGTGTGAGTGTGTGTGAGTGTGTGTGTGTGACTCTGTGTGTGTGTGTCACACACATGTTAAAGAGCATGTGCAGAGGTCAAAGTAAACATGCAGGAGCTGATTCTCTCCTTCCACAAGAACGTTAAGAATTTTGTAACATAGAAGGGCATGGTGGTACAAAAGTACCTAATAGGGAAAAAATGGAGGTCTGGGCCAGGCTTGGCTACATGGTGAGTTCAAGCCCAGCCTAGACTACATGAGATACTATCTTAGAAAACAAACCCAAAATTGTTTTTGCAAAAGCAGTATCATGAAGATGAAAACATATTAGGACCCAATTTTCTTCATAAAATAAATCCTAAACCTGGGTTTAACAAGAATAAAGGTGACTAGGAAACAACCTGAGAATAGTCTTCAGTAACTTCGCTTCTGTTTCACAGCAGAGCACTTGTACTGCACTGCTGTGCATTCCTGCGACAAGCAAGCTTAGGTCTCCATTAGGCATTCTGTAATCATTTTGTAATCAACACTAACATTAAAGAAGACTTTAAATGGGCTATAGCCAAAAGTATCTTTTAAATATATCTTTTCATGTACACAAAGTAAAAAAAAATAAAAATAAAAAAGAAATATTCTTGGCTAAAAAGTTAAACCATTGGGTTAGAAAGATAGATGGACAGGTCAAAATGCTTGCCCAAAAGCCGAAAGAGCTGACTTCGATCCTCTAGAACACATATAAAGACGTAATAAACCAACTCCACAAACACACACATCTTACACTCACACATATACACAATTAATTAATGCAGTAAAGTCATATCAAGGGCTAGAGAGATGATAATTCAATGGTTAAAAGCACTTGCTGTTCATCCAGAGGATCTCATTTTTAGAGTTAAACATTTTTCATTTAAAAGGATGGGCACATAATGACTGAAATCTCTGCCTAGCCTAAAAGCCTATGTCTGCTTCCTAGTACCCACTCCAGGCTGCTCACAACTGCCTATAATTCCAGTTCCAAGTAACCCAAAGCCCTCCTTTGGCTTTTGGCTCATGCATATACCCATACACAGATACACATACATACGCATAAATAATCATTTTTAAAAGTTAAATAATTGGCTTCTAATTTATAGTATTTGAGATGAGTGTAAATATTGATACATAACTGATATTTATTCTAAAAAGCAAAACCGCATATATAAAAGCAAGACAATGGGGCTGGAGCTATGACTCGGCAGTTAAGGTGCTTGCTGCTCTTCAGGGAACCCAGCACTTACAGCAGGCAGCTAACCTATTCATACAAAGACACTCACACATACACATAGGCTTTAAAAAATATATAAAAGCAATACAGTGTGTTCACTTTAAATATGTTGCTAACCAAAACCAGTTTATTATAATCTTAGGATCTCATTCACATTAAAAAACCAGAATGTTTAAATGTCCTGATAACTGAAGTTTTTTTAAAAATTAAGCATTCTAAGAATCAAACTTTAATATCAAGCCACAGAATTTACTTTAAACCTACCACTTCTATTTTAGCACTTAAAATTTGGGAGCCTGAAGGCCTTTATGAGTGTTTAAAAAGAACTAAGCATGGGTTGTGGTGACAAGCATGTTTCTGGAGCAGAACAAGCCTGTGAAGCATGCTCTGGGGAATACAGAGCATGCAGGTCCAGTTTGGGGGTTACTCCTCTGTTCTGAGAATCACACTTCACCTTGGAAGTTGCAGAGACCATATAATTGCCTAAAGGCACACTGTTTAATATTTAAAGAAATTTTAATAAGACTGCCTGTAATACTCATTAAAAGCCTTATAATGACCATTTTTAAAGATTATTTTAACTGACTTTAAGCAAGCCATCTGGCAAACAATATTCCTAATAAGAATCAGCTACTGCATTTGACAACAGCATTAACTCATAAAATTTAAGACATAAATGGAACAGAATTTTCAAACAAGAATATAAAAAGATTTAATAACACAGAACCTGATTAAAAATCTTTTTCCAAACTATTAAAAAATTGAATTTACAGTTAGGATTAAAATAAATGGACTTTTAGCCAACATTATGGCAAATGCAAAGCCATAAACATTCAGACCGTAACATTAAACCCTGTCACATACAGTATAATGTGCTGCTGCCAGTGCTTTTCAGAAGGTTAAAAAGTGACTTTGGGAATAAAGACCAAACTCAGAAAAAGAAAGAAAGAAATGAGTTCCAATAAGTCGTCCTTGCATTAAGTGTTGTTCAGAGAACATTTCAAACACTAAACCTTTTAGACATACTTACAGATGCCAATGCTAGCTTTCCTTTTTAATAAAAAGCTAACATGAAAACACATAGAAAAATACATTTTCACTTCATTAATATAGACCAATCAAGATAAAATAAACTTAATGAATTTAGTTAGTCAAGGATTGAAAGTAAAAAATTTTAATAAAGATTGAAATAATCTATAAAAAAATTTAAAAGTTGAAATCAAAAAACTGAACTGCAGTGTTATTCTATAAACTATAATATACTGATTAATTGTAGTAATGAATACAGTGAATTACCGAGAATTATTTAACTACCCTGTTACATTGTCTAAATAGTGAGGAAAATATGTGCAGTAATGACTTGCAGGTGAAGAAAACAGGAAGGGAGGAGGGAACTCACAAGTACCAGTATAAGCTCAGATCACACACAATGTACAACACTGGACAGAGCGTCTTACTTCATGCCTCAGTGCACTTGAGGGGAGCTTGATGCCAGCACAGCTCAGTGAGGCAACAAGACAGTGCTCTGAGGACTGACAGGCTCCGGAAGTCCAACTGCTACACAGGACTAATGGGAGACTGCTGGAGAATGACTAGACTGGCTGAAGCACATCTTCTTCTGGCTCAGATGCTGCAGACTTGAGTTTAGAAGCAAATTTGTTCTACACATTCAAAGTAGGGAGGGTTTTTCACTACATTTTTATTTATTTTATCTGAGTGTGCATGTGCATGCTAGGAGCGCATGTGGAGGTCAGAGAACAACTTGTGAAAATCAGTTCTCTCCTTCCACCAGGTGGAAGGCTTGAACGCTGGTTGTCAGGCTTGGCAAAAAGCCCTTTACCTGCTAGGGCACCTCACTAGCCCTAGACGGGCATGTAAGATGAGCACTCTCTTCTAAATAATCCTCTAGATAGTTTCTCACCTACATCTCATTTAAGATGTAACCTTGCTTTTATTTTGCCTGTTGTTAACTAGCTTAAAATGCTTTTTGAACAAAGGCACAGTAGAAACTACATTTATATTTATTCTATCATAGAATTAACAACACAGCAATTAAGACTAGAAGCATATCAATAATCAAGAAATGCCTCATGAAAAATGAATATATGAAGACAGCATAAAAAGGGGGTAATGCAGAAAGGCTTTCCCAGAAAGGAACATTTTCCAGCTTGTGATGTCACTAGTATCAATAATAAAGTATGAATTCTATGAACTACATCTCAGATAATAGTCACTATGACTATTTCTTAACAAAGTTGAATACAGAGATAACTGCTTGAAAGTACTAATATTCTAATAACATTTCATCCAAATATGTTATTTGTCATGCAAAAATATAATATGCAGTCACTGTATTTCAATACATAATCAACATGTTCAAAACCAAAAATTGTTAGGAAATTATTAAGAGAAAATGCTCTAAAAACAATGTTTTAGTAAACTTAGAGACATATCTAATATGTGTGTCAGTTATGTTAATCTCTCATGTGAAAGTGAAATGAATATAGACAAAAGCTAAGAAGGGGAAGAAGGAAGAGAGAGGGGAAGGTAAAGAAGAAGAAAAGGAGAGTTGGGAGAGGGGAAGGGGAGAGGAGGAGGATGGAGGAGGAGAAAGAGGAGGAAGATGGAAAGGGTAGGAGTATAATCCAGCAAAGCTTCACTTTGACAGCCTTCTTTAAGGTCCACAAGCATCTTCATCCCTTAAGATTAATCACTTTAAATCTTTTATAGACGTTGGAATGATATAAAAGGAAGTATGTGACTATAATAAAAATTATAATTAAGGTTGCTGCCATGATTCTATCACTTAACTCTCTTTGGAGTAGAAATTGGGTATCAAATTAACGCAGTCTATGCCAAATTCTAGAAACACGCTCATTTTTTAAAGCAGACACTATAGATGAAGTGGTCATCATCGACCCACAGAGGAACAGACTCTACGCCTCCGTTCCCTGAGATGGTGCAGGTTCTGTCACCGATTAATAGGTGTGCTATGCCAGTTTCCTAGCCCAAGCCTTCTAACCATCCAGTGTCTACTTCTTCCCTCCTAGACTACTGCTCCTACAGCTCTGAGATACTGTAAACATGTCCAACTACACAACTACAGAAGCCACATGGGCAGCAAGGAGACCTGCAGAGGACAGGATTGCAGAAACGCACTGAATTACTTTATTGTTTTGTTTAAATATCTTACATAGATGTTTTACAATGTAGCCCTGGATATCCTGAAGACCACCAACTCAACAACACTGTCCTCTGACCTCCATATACACATCATGGCAGGCACGTGTTCTCCACCCAGCACCATCCTTGTGCATAATAATAATAAATAAAATTTTAAATATTTAAATGTATTGGGGGAAAACTGAAAGTAAACTAGAGCAGGAACACTCTGAACTGCTATTAAATGCCATTATTCTGCAAAATCCACAAGAAGATGAATGTTTAAGTGGTGACTGCATCATACTGACCAGCTCATCTAAAAAGGTCTGCTTGTTCTTCCTTTTCAGGATCTGCTGCAGCTCCTCTTCCTTCTGTATAAACAGTCGTCGCTGTTCGCTTTCTTGGCGTTCTACCTCCAGTGCTTCCTCCAATTCCTCCTGCTCCCGAGTCTAAACAAACATTTCCATAAGAAATGGAATGAATTTACCAGCCAATAGCAATCCTATACCATAGTCTTCTACTTTATTTACTAGAAGCATAAAGCCAATTGATCCTTTGTGCTTTAGTAATGTTAACAACTCTATACAGAACAGATTAGGGCACTTGTTATTTTATGTGAGCATGTACTAACTACCCCAGGGAAGGACAAACACCAAACCAAGTGCACTAAGCCCAAAGCAAAAATGGAGTAACTAGTTCATACGGGGACCGGGGGGGGGGGGGGGTGAGTTAATTTGTAATTATTACAGACAATTTGAAGGCATATAATTTATAGAACTTAACATGGATTTTCTTAATTCATGTATTAGGCAAATACATGAATTTCAACAAAACACTAAGTTTTCAAGGAGAAAAAGGAGCTGCACTCCAATACTATAGCCTTATTATGTGCAAAATTAAACAAGGTCCACTAGATTCTGAGGAGCAGACCCACACCTCAAGTGAACTCATTTTCAAAACCATTTCAGTTCACTCTCTTCTCTGTCTTCCTTAAGTCAGCTGCTAAGTATTGTGAGCATTTCTCCTAATCATTTTACCAATTCCTAAAGCCCAGTTACATAAGTCAATGTACTTAACACAAGCTTCTAAGTTAAGAAGGGAATCCAACTTTACCCAGAAGGATTAGTAAGAGCAAACATAAGAAGATATGACTCCATGTTGTCGGAGTGTCTCCAGTTAAGCACATCGAGTGTGGATACAGCATACACAGTGTATGTAGTAATGACACTATTGATATGGTAATAAGTGTTCCTTGAGACTACAAGTGAAATTATAAACAGACTAAAGACCCACATCCTGGTACTAATAAATATGACTTTACTTTTGGTGAGGTACTCCAATCCTACAGTGATTTCACGCTCTCTCATCTGTGGGTGTTAGCTTTGAATCTTCAGATGTGTGTCACATTTGCAATGCCCATACTAAGGGGCCATGGGGAGGGGCTTTCCAGAGAGCTGAGTGAGACTGCTCTGATATAAAGAGTTAAAATGAACTAACAGACTAGGAATGGTTAAACTGGGAGTAAAGGGAAGGGCAAAGGAAGTATAATGGAGAGGATCAAAAACACTAAAGACCTTTCAAAAAAGATATATGGAAGCATACTACTACTACTGCTACTGCTTCTGAAAAGCTTCCTAAAATATAAAATATATATAACAAGTTAGAATTAGTTCTACTATAACAGAACAACAATGCCCCTAATAAACATGAGAGATTAGAAAATAAAAGCCCCAATTCCAGGTATGAGTTACTTCTTTTGGAACTATTGGCCAATGAGGTCCCATAGATCTCCAAACAATACAGGCCATAATCAATACTACTGGTTATCTTCCATAATTTGACAGAAAGAAGAAGAGTCCTAGAACCTGGTAAAATCAGGCCAGTATGGAACTAGAAACTTTATCCCTACTACCTAGCTTTCATGGTGCTGGAAGGTACTCTCTGCATGTTACCAAAAGAGAAAAATAATCATCAACCGGTCACAACTGTTCTAGAGAGATATACTCACTAGTGCAATAGTGATACAAACATCAGGAGTGACCAACTACTTTCTCATTGGGTTTAAGTCCTGCTCTGTAAGATGAACCCTTACTTGGCACCATTGTTAAACTTGTGGCTAGACAGGCACTAGGCCCTGAGAGAGAAGCTGCTACTATTCTGCCACTAAGTGGATACAATGTTAAGGCGTCTCTTACTGACTTAGTATTACAGCCACAGATCAACGTATCTACTAACCGTCATTTGAGAAACTTGTATTTAAACTGGATAGTAACTAACAGTGATCCACAAGTGGCAGGGTGCAGAGACTAAGAGAGTGAAGACTGCCCAGTCCTAGGGACATAGATTCTGCAGCTCTCCTCCTAAGGCTGAGGGATCAATGGAGAAGAGGCAGCAAGAAGAGTCTGCAAGCCTGAAGCAGTAGATGACTGTAAAAACAATGCCTTCTGAACACATCGGAACAGCCCAAGCTAGACCAAATCCCAGCATGGAAAGGAAGTTGGGCACACAATCCCACCTCTGCCATGGAGCTATTGGCAATCAATAGCTGCCATGAGAGAAACAAAGAACTTTCTCTGAGAGTATCGCTCCTGGAAAGTCAACCACTCTCTGGTAAAAGACCACACATACAAGAATACTTGAGCAACACAAATTTCTTCTGAAATACTTTTTGTGAAGGACACAAAGATGGGTGTGTAGAGAAGGGCGGAGTAAACTGGGGAAGAGATGAGGAGAGTAGGGATGAATATGATTGGAACACATTATATGAAATGCTCAAAGAACTAATAAAATCTTCTTAAATATTATATAAAGGATGTTACTCATACAAAAGAAGAAAATACTTAGCAACCAACCAGCTTTAATTTATTTTTCTGAATGACATCTTTGTTTTCTTTTTGATATATTTCCATTTTCTTTTTTGTGTTCTCCAAATCCACATTGTTGGTCAAATTGAAAACTGTAACAAAAAGGAAACAACGTCATGAATTTTAATAGTTTTAATATAAATCCTAAGGTGACTATGAAAGCCAAAGAGATGGCATTTTGACATCTTACTCATGGGGTTAACAGTCTCTATGGTTCCATTTGTATCTTTTAATTACCTACCTATGTCACTGAGTCACTCACGACGACCTTTGACTCTACCTCCAGGAGTATCTGCTAATCTGCCCTCTACAGACACTGGCGCTTATGTGGTACATCTAGGGACACAGACATGAACATCCACACAAACCGAAACTTAATAAAAATAAAAGACTAACTCACCTATATTGCAAATGTCTCTGGAATATGTAATATAGGCACTTGATCTAATTATCTCACTTAGCCTAATTGATACATGGCAGGTATAGGGTTGTATCTTTTCATTTATTACACGTGTGTGCGTGTGTGTGTCTGCATGCACATGCATAGGCACTCTACAGAGCATGTGAAGGTCAGAAGACAGTTTTACAGGAGTGGAACTTGGGTCGTTAGGCTTGCAGCAGGTACTCTTTACCCACTGATCCATCTACCAGTCACAGATGTGCTCTAAAACTAACAATTTGCCTGTAATGCAGGCAAATCCCCAAATCTGAATCTTAATGAATAACAAATGTGTTGTTTCCGCCAATGTTTGCCTAGCTGAGTATGTTTCTCCTACAGATCGCCACATATCTAAGACTATAGCTTTAAAATCTACACACAGAGTACATCAGTATCAAGATCTGACCCCCATCGTCTTTCTTAATCACCAGCTCTTCCTTCACCTCACTTGCACGGATAATTCTCCTTCTGTGAATGCCAAGAACCATTACTTCTTATCAGTCTCCCCGACTTGTCCACTTTCTACCCTATATAATTTTTCCAATGAACACCTCTTGTTAGACCTACTAGAGTGTTCATTTACTAGCAATTTAAACTTGCTGTTAGATATATTTTTTTTAAAAAAAAGTAAATTTGGATTCTAAGTGAAATGTATACGGCTAGATAAAATTCATTTCGTTTATAGTTACAAATACCACAATAAATCCCAATAAAAGTAAAATAGACTATGTTAATTTCATTTTCACTTAGAAAATAAAGGTATTAGCACTATAATAGATGTAAATCATGGTCACAGATAATACAACCTATTTCTAATTATTAATTAGAATTTCTAATATTATTAATTCTAATTATTTATTAATAATTTATTTTTGAGAGAAATAATTAATTATAAAATTGAATTACAAACACAAAAACTTCTTAGATGAAGCAAGCTTATTTATGCCACAGTGAACCGCAATGTCATGAGTGCGTCAGAGAGGGAACAGGAGCTAACTCTCTCTATAACAATCATTTGAGAGGGAACAGAAGCTAACTCTCTCTATAACAATCATTTGACCCTCAATCTGTTTGTTGCTGAAGCTCAGATGTTGACCTGACTCTAATCAAGAATTAAATGCAAACAAAAAACCTATTATATTTTCTGGAAGATTTAATGTTATTTAAGTACAATTTTAAAGTCTTCTTACATTCAGAATTCACAATTAAAGCCCTTTGGGCTTTCTCATCCTTTTAAAATAAGTATTCTCTGCACTCAAAGAATAATCTGCTTATTATGAAGCTAAGAACAAATGTTTGAGATGATCCTTGGGGTGAGGAACAAAAAGTTCTATGTTCATATTGTCATGCTCAGAGAAGGGCCTGTTGTTAATTCCACAAGAAAACTCATCTTCGTGTGTACCTTCTATTGTAAGTTTTTGATACCATCATTCAAAATTGTACATTTTAACTTTTATTTATGTGCTATTCAAGGAATTCATAATGACATTCATATAACAGAATGTCTTCATTCCCATTTTCCGCCTCCTCAGACACTGAGCTAATCTCCTGTCTCTAAACCTCTAGTGCATGTGTAAGCATCTACACTTCTACTACACAACCAAAGTCAAAGCTCTTTCATTCCTGTCAAAAACAGCTCTAGATAACTTCCTTACTGGAGATGGGCTAGTAACTGGTGTGAGGTCTTTTTGATTTCTTTGTTTTATGACAGAATTTCCTTGGTAACCCAGGCTGTCCTGTAACTCATGACCATCTTGCCTGTCTTTGGGTGCTAGAATTGCATGCATAGCTACCACACCAGGCCAAAACCTACATGCTATTCTCTTATCTCTGACTATTTCTCAGTACTCCATATTCCAGACATAGACTACTAACTACTCATTAGGTCGATCATCTATTTTCCAAGCACTGTGAGCCAGAAGTCTACGAGGTAAACTGTTTACTAGCAATACGAACTTGTCACAATGCTTGAGTTCTCTGAACTTGTTCTACATACAGAAGAGGGTTAAAAGTGCCTGTCTCTTTTAGAATTTTGAAAATTATAGTCTGTATGAAGCTTACTGTGGTCATCAGTAGGTGTCTATTAAACTAACATTTTGTCTTTTGAGTAGCAGCAAAAGTCAACACAGACAAAGTATCTTTGAACAGACAAATAAAGCAGAAGTAGGCAGCACCAGAAACAAGATTCTGAAAGAGTTTTGTTCCTGCAATAACAACCAGAACAATGCTTCACAACTAAGTGATAGACCCAAACTAATATCTTTATTCTAACCCTCACTCCTGCAGACTCCCTGTGTAACAAGACAAACCAATAAAAACTGTGATTTTTACAACTTGCATTGCCTTTTGTCGGGGGAGGGGTTGTGTAGAGCGCAGATACACATACGTGTGCATGGATATGGAGGGCAAAGGACAAGCTTAGGCATCAGTTTTTAATGGGGATATCATCCTTGTATTTTTTTTTCTCCCCAGAGATAGGATTTCTCTATGTAGTCCTGGCTGTCCTGGAACTTGTTCTGCAGACCAGGCTGGCCTCAAACTGGCAGAGATTCACCTGCCTCTGCCTCCTAAATGCTGAGATCAAAGGAGTACACCATCACCACCTGTCATCCTTCTTATTTCTTGAGACAAGGTGCTTCACTGGCCTCGGCTGTTAGGCCTCAAGCCCCGTGGATCTGCTGTCTCTGCCTCCTCAGTGCTGGGACTACAAGCACAAGCCAGCACAGCTGTTCTTCTCACCTGGGTCCCAGGGGTCAAAGTCAGGTCGTCATGCTTACAGCTCAGGCACTTGGCCAACTCTCCCAGCCCTCCGACTTGCATGATCTTGATTAGCACCACTAGACACAAGTGTTCAAGGTCATCCTCCAAGTCACTGTCTATTCTTTCTAACTCACTTCTGATGCCAGATCAGTGAGTGAGTATTCTCTCTAAAATGTCCTCTTTACTATGGCCACCACTACTGTCTTTTTAGGGGGTTCCTTATTTCTTACCCATACTACTGAAACCCTCTTAAAAATCTCACTGCCTCCTGACAAGCCACCGACTAAAATTTACTGACAGCCAAGTTTACACAGTTTCTCATTTCATATATGCCTCTTGAAAATTTATGTATTTCTTTAATAAGTATAGGTGTTTTGGCCAGGCAGTGGTGGCACACACCCTTAATTCCAGCACTCTGGAGGCATAGACAGGCAGATCTCTGTGAGTTCATGGCCAACTTAGTCTACAGAGCTAGTTCCAGGACAGCCAAGGATACACTGAGAAACCCTATCTCAAAAAACCAAAAAATATGGGTGTTTTGCTTACATACATGTCTGTGCAACACATGCATGCCTGGTGGCCTTAGAGCCGAGAAGGCTTAAGATGTCCTGGGATTAGAGTTACAGAGAGTTGTGTAATGCCACCTGAGTGCTGAGAATCAAACCTGGGTCCTCTGAAAAGCAGCCATGCTCTTAACCACCGAACTATCTCTCCAGCCTTTTTAACAAACAATAACTGGATATATGTATAGGGTACAATGTGATATTTGGTATATGTAAACATATGGAATTACTACAGCAATCTGATTAGCAAACCTATCATATCACATGCTTTTTTTTTGTAGTAGGACCATTTAACCGGTGGTATCTAATTGTGATTCTAATTTGCATTTTCCTGATAATTAGTGATGTTGAGGATAGTTGTATACACCTATTAAACCTATTTGTCTGGTTTTTTGTTTTAGTGATGTCTACTTGTTAATTTGCCATAGAGTTATTAAAGGCTCATATAAATTTCAGAGATGTGATGGTTTGATGGCCCCCATAGCCTCAGATATTTGAATGCTTGGCCCCAGATGGTGGTGCTGTTTGGTAAGGCTTAAAGGTGTAGCCTTGTTGGAACAAGTACAACATTGGAGGCAGGCGTTGAGAGTTTAAAAACTCTTGCCATTCCTGATGTATGTTCTCTCTCCCTCAAGCTTGTGGTTGAAGATGTAAGTCCTCAGTTTCTTTCTGCTCAAGCCACCATGTTTGCTGCTTCCTGTCATGCTTCTCTATCATCATGAGGAGGAGGAGCAGGAGGAGAAGGAGGAGGAGGAAGAAGAGGAAGAGGAGGAAAAAGAGGAGGAGGAGGAGGAGGAAGAGGAGGAGGAGGAGGAGAATGTGATGATGGACTCTTTTCCCCTGGGACAGTAAGCCAAAGTAAACTCTTTCCTGTAAGAGTTACCTAGGCCATGGTATTTATCACAGAAAAGGAACTACTAAAGTAGTTAAGGTAGCGTTGCAATCTTCAATTGGTGCCTCCTCTTCTGTGGACTGTCTTTATTTTGTCACCTCCTTTGCTCTGGTGAAACTTTTTCTTCCTCTTCGTCCTCTCCTTTTCTCCTCTCTGCCCCTCTGCTTTCCTCCTCACCTCCTCCCTCAAGAATATTTTAACTGAACAACATGCACTATAAATACGCACTTGGGACAGTTAGTTTTAATGCCAGTTTGCTACAACAGAAACATGTGAGTAGGGAACCTCACCTGACTAGTTGTACTGATTATCTAAAGGCAAGTGGGAAAGCCACACAAAATGAGCAGCCCAGACAAAAAGGAAACTTACTTGCTTTTTGCTTGCTTGGCCTCCCTTTTTCTACCATGTGAATTTACCCTGGTGCTGCTGGTAATGGCAGTTCCTTTGTTGCTATCAGAACCAGCATCTCCAGGCTTCTATCACTGACTGAGGAAACAGTGGCTCCACCAACCCTCTTTGTCTTCACAGCAGATGAGGCCTACTGAGGCACATCACCCTCATAGACTGAGCAACTCCTGAGCTGTCAGCTTCTCCTGTGTGAGATAGTCATGGGGGGACTCTGACTGTGGAAGACGGTTCAACCTCAAGGACCAAGCAACTACAAGTTTTGCAGCCTCTCAGATGTGAGACAGCTACTGTTACTATTTCAGTGAAAGGTAATTTAGTTATAGCATATACATACATACATACATACATACATACATAAAATGAATGAATATAATTTTTATTCTATTGATTCTGTTCCTTTAGGGAACCCTAACAAATATTTCAGTGTGGTGGTTTCAGTAAGAATGGCCCTCATAGGCTCATATGTTTGAATACTTGGTCCCCAGTTGGTGGCACTGTCTGGAAAGGATGAGGAAGGATTGTGACCGTGTTAGAGGAGCTGTGTGCTCTGTCTACTGTGTGTAAATCAGGACACAAGCTCTTGGCTGCTGCTCCTCCCTCATGCCTTGCCTCTATCATCGTGGACTCTAACCCAATTAAACTCTGTCTTCCATAAGTTGTCTTGGTCATCAAGTGTCATCTCAACAATAGAAAAGAAACTAATACAAGCAGTCACTCTAATTGAATAAAGTCCAGTCTTTATTTGAAGTTCGGCTTCTTCTTATATAAATCATAACTACTACCTACAGTGCTGTTTCTATTTTTTTAACGGGAAACAAAAGTATTGTTACATAATTCTGGAATAAATTGCATAATATAATAAGCACAATTGGCTTGAGAAAGCTTGATCACTGGTACAAATAATTTATGGTGTATAACTGAGCTGGAGAGCAGAATAGAGACGTACTTTCAAACAGCTTTTAATGGAAAGCATTTAGCATGCATCACTACGCTGAGGCATGAGTCAGCACAGTCTATGGAAGGACGGGAATGTAAGAAGCTCCAATGTGACAACTAACTAAACATTGGTTCAGAGTTTCTACATATGTTCAGAGTTTCTACACATTTTAAAGACACACACTCATAAAATACATATAATAGCATAATCATTTTTAAATCAAGTGCACTGATAGTTTCTGAATCTGGTGATACAGGGTAAGATGGTGGCTCATTGGTTAACTCCTTGCTATACAAGCATAAGACCCTAAGTTTGGATCCCCAGCACTCACATAAAAACCAAGGCACAGCCTAGCGTTGGTGGCACACACCTTTAATCCCAGCACTTGGGAGGGAGAGGCAGGCGGATTTCTGAGTTCAAGGCCAGCCTGGTCTACAGAGTGAGTTCTAGGTCAGCCAGGACTACACAGAGAAACCCTGTCTCAAAAAAAAACAAAAAACAAAAAACAAAATCCAAGGCACAGTAGCATATACCTGCAACCCCAGCACTGAGATCCAGAGACAAGAGATTCCAGGGATTTGCTCACCAATCAATCAGTCTAGCCAACAGGTGAGCTCCACATTCATCAAGAAACCCTATCTTAAGAAATAAGGTAGAGACTGACAAAGAAAGATATCCCTCACTTACCTCTGGCCTCCATGTGCATATGCATGGGTATACATGCCAACATGCATATACATAGAAAGAAAGAAAAATATTATAGGCCAGGTACATGCCTATAATCTCAGACTCTGCCTTGCAAGTTCAAAGCCAACTTGACATACATTAACAGTTATCAGATAGTGAGACTCCATCTCAAAGAAAAGAAATATTACATAGTTGTATAGTCATTCTATCCAAGCTTACTCTGTCCTGTTTATACTAGTGCCTACTTCTAAACACAAACCTGGTTTTACATAGGGACCCCAAATTGTCAATTCTTTGAAATTAATTAGTTCAACTTATAGACACAAACAAACAAAACATAAGTAGGCTCACCCAGAACCTTATGAAAAATCAAAGTCCCTGGTTGTTAACTCCCTTAAGCCTGGCCCCCAGTCCCTTCAGCTTCCCAGGATACTTGGTTGGAACTATAACGATATATTCAACTTGCCTGTAAGTGCTATACCTTCTTTTGCCTTTCTTGTATGCCAGGGTTTCTAACCACACTAATCACACCACCTTTAATGTATATGAAAACTTTCTTTGTGATGGCTGTTCTGCTTGTCCCACACCAGAGCATCTTCTCAGTCTGTGTCCTAATGCTGCCCCTCATTGGCATTCACAATTCTACCACCTTCTTAGTCAAATCCTCAGGGACTCATGGCTGCTAATATACACAAAGCACAAACAAGTACATTAGAATGAAAAAGCACCAGTTCTAAGGTACTAAAATAGATGAGAAAAAAAATTAAACTATTCTCTGTACATGCTCCTGTGTTCTGTACATGCTCCTACTGTGTTCTGTACATGCTCCTACTGTGTTCTGTACATGCTCCTACTGAGACATAATAACTTGGACTTTAAAAGGAATTTTTTTTAAATTAGTACTAATTCTAAAGAATTTGAATTTATAATCTTTTATATATAAATACTTTTTAATGATTCTTTCTATCATATTTTAATAATAAAGTTATGAATTAGGAGAATAAAAAGATGGCTCTTTGACGCTCACAGTATCAGCCTCATTTTCATAGGCTATTCCCTTTTATCATTTCCAAACCTGTATTCTGTAATAAATACAGCAACTTTTTGTTTTATTTTTTACTTACTGAATGTGTGCTTTACATTTATTTATTTAGTGCATATATGTGGTGGCCAAAAGAAAACTTGGGGAGTTGGTATTCTCCTTCCACTTTGGGGGGCCCTGAGATAGACCTCAAGTCTTCATGCATGCTTAGTGGCAAGCACCCTTACCTGCTGCGTCATCTTGCCAAGTCTAATTATCACACTTTAAAAGTGTAATTTTTTAAATCAATATCTCATAACTTCCATACCTTTTAGCAGTTCTAAAACAGTCTTTAGCAAAAATGAAACAAGCATCAATCCTAGCCCAACACTGAAAGAGAGGGAAGCGAGCAGAAACAATATTCTTCTATGAGGAAAACACTTTATGACTAATCACACTGAAAAGAAGCACTAAGACTATTCTAACTTCTGCCTTGAAAAACAAACCCTGACTAGAAAAAAGCTCAACAGTCAACTGCTTCAAAGTCTTACCAACCTACTGTTATACAACAGCATAAATGACAGTGAATGTTTTTATCTCATTATCACAGAAAGAGTTGAAAGAACACCCACCTACAAAGTCAATCAAAGCACTTCCTGTTGCTTATACTGCTTGGATAGAGCTGGTACATGCACACACACCCTGTGTCCCAGCTAAAGAATGCTACCTCTATTAATAATTTCTCCACAATAAAATTACTAAAGAATGTCCTTTAGTATGATTTAAATTTGACAGATGTAATTCAACTACAAAAAAAGTAACCTGTGAACATTGGCAACCACTAGTATATCAAAATCCTTGTGTCTGAGACATTGTCTAGGCATCTAAAAGAGAACAGCACAAGATCTCAAGGCTAACACATCAAATTAAAACATACCGATTTCCTCCACTTCTTCCAGAAAATCATTATACTCTCTTAAACTAGGAAAATCTTCTTCCCTTTTATTGTATCTACAAAGAAGAAAAATATCAAAGTATTACAAATCATTGTAAACCATTTTCTATAACCAGCGTGCTCATCTTTACCTAATTCAAGAAGAATGTATAGAAAAGGACTGCTTATTATGTAAAACACTGTATTCTTGAGGCCAGGTCTAAAACTAAACCAAGAATGAACGCTCAGTTTGCTGAGGGATTTACTTTTTTTTTAATTAATTAATTTATTTATTTTAAACTCCAAATTTTAATCTCCTCCCCGTCCACCCTCCTACTGTTCCACATCCTATACCTCCTCCCCACCCTGTTGAGGAGGGTTTTTTGTTGGCTTTGTTTTGTTTTTCTGATTCTTTTGTAGGGTGTGGAAGGTTGATTTCTGTTCACAAAGGCATGTGGTCTACCACTGAGCTATGCATGCAACCCAAAAACACTATTCTTAAAATTCTTATGATGACAGAGAAAATGTAGAATCAGAAGAGAATGGTATCACATGCACAATTCTTAAAAGACTTAAGAAAAAAGATTTAATGACCTACTTCAGGGATTTGGAAATGAACTTAAGCAAGACATATCACTGTAAATTGTATTACTTGTTTATTATAGAGCCATTAATTCCAGAAAACTGATGCTCAATTGAAAAAAGGGCTCTCATTTTTTTCATGATAATATGACCTAAGAAACATTAGGTCTGCCAGCTAGTGGTTTTGCACATCTTTAATTCCAGACCTAGGAAGCAGAGGCAGGTGGATCTCTATGAGTTCAAGGCCAGCATGGTCTACAGAGTGAATTCCAAGACAGCAAGGGTTACACAGGAAAACCCTACAGGGTGGGAGTGAGAAGGGTGTTTTAATGTATCTGTGAATAATAACAAAACTGGAAAAGTTAAAGATAAAAGACGGCTCCTTGAAGTAATACAAGTAAAATGAAGATCAGCTGGGCCACTGATAAAAGGATTACAAATTCACCATCTAGCAAGATGTTACTAAACCATTAGTAAAAGGTATACCCCAAAAATAAGAACTGAGAGGGGCCGGAGAGGTGCTCAATGACTAAGAGCCTGTATTATGCTTGAGATAGCAAAGGCCATGAAGAAAGGAAACTTGATACTGGGCCATTTCTTCTGCCTTCTTTCTCTTCATCCCTCATTGAACTTCTGGCAACACCATGTTTGGCAGGGAGAGCATCAGAGGCTCACCACCTCCGTGGTCCATCCTAGGCACTATGTGGAGGGCTCCAGGAAGAATTTGCCACTTTCAGTAAAAAAAGTGGCAGCTGCTGGCTGTGAGGACTGTGTGCTTGGATCTGGATTTGCTGCACCCTTCTTTATAGTATGGCACCATGAAACTGAAGAAGCTAGGATGCTTAATTCATCCTTTTAATAGATAATGAAAAATATTTAAGAGGTGTGATCTCTGAAAAGTGGCTTAAACTCTTGAACTCTCACACTAGACAAGATTGTAAATAAACTAATGACATGAAAAAGAAAGAAAGAAAAAAGAACCTATACTACTCTTGCAGAAGACCAGAGTTCAGTTCCCAGAACCCCATCTGGTAGATTACAACTGCCTATTACTCCAGCTCCTGGTAGATCCAACACCAACACCCCTGGCTCCCAGAACACCAACATTCATTTGTGCAAATCCACACACAGATACCCATTCACAATACAGATAATTTAAAAATAAAACAAATCATTTTTAAAAATTAAGAAGTGAGGTATGGACTAGACATGGGGTAGAGGCAGAACACATGCTTAGAGGACTCAAGGCATTGGGTTCAATCCTCCAAAACCAAAAACCCAAAGAAAAGCTTAAGGAAATGTATTAATTTTAAAATACTAATGTACTTTATAACAAAAGAGAAAAAAACAAAACTCAAAACTACTAACAAATCACAAAAATATACCCACATGCATGCCAAAAAAAAGTATAGTTAATATTTAAGTGTTGAAATAAGCTTCAAACTGAAACTTAAATGTTACTACCTCAGGCGGGCAGTGGTGGTGCATGCCTTTAATCCCAGCACTTGGGAGGCAGAGGCAGGTGGATTTCTGAGTTTGAGAGTTCGAGGCTAGCCTGGTCTACAGAGTGAGTTCCAGGACAGCCAGGGCTACACAGAGAAACCCTGTCTCGAAAAACCAAACAAACAAACAAAAAAAAAATGTTACTACCTCTTTAGTCTTTATAGTAAATTTGTTTTGTTTGCTGCTTTAATTTCTGTCTCTTTAATAGCCTATGCTACTTTATTAGTAAGCCATGAGAACAAGGTTTATAACTATTTTATACATCATGTCTTAATTACTGCTAATACATAAAACAGATATTTGACAATTAAGTAATAAATAGCGAATGAATAAACTGTAAAGATATCAAGAAGGCTTTTCTTTAACAAAGGTTAAATATTACACAGTTCTCTATAAACTCAACAAATTTTGTAAAACAAGTATATAGATGATTTTATAACTACTTTGTTACTTGACAATTTGTTCAAAATTACATAAGCAAATAATAATAATGACTATTAAAATAACTGTTGATGTTTTCTTTGCTGGCCAAATCCCTTGACAATAACACTTACATCTTTAGTACTTTTTTCCGAATTTCAACCTCCTTGTCAACAGTGGGATCTTCAAAGAGCTGTACCCTGAAGTTGCTCTTTCTTAGTGGGGTACCACACTCAGGACAGTTTCCAGCTCCTCTTACAAACAGTAAGTCCACACAACTCTCACACCTACAAAGAAAGAACACATGTAGCAATAGTAGTAATAGTAATAACAATAGTTAAACAAGAAGGGTCATGGAAGAGAGGGACTTGGGGGAGACAGGAAGTATTGGAGTGAAGGGAGGGAAACGATGCAAACATGGTATTCATGGATGACGTTCTCAGAAGGAAGGAAACAAAGAAAGAAAGAAAGAAAACACAATATTTAAGGGAGAGTTCAAATCTACAAGTCTGCCCTTTAAGGTAGGATTGAGGACTGGGGATAAAAGTTTCATTTATACTTACAATTTTATAGAAAATAAAACTTTGGAATACCATTTGTATTTGGCAATTACTTTTCAGACATAGATAACTGAGAAGATACCAGTTATAGAACTGTGAAGAGTAAATAAGATTGAATGAGGTATTAAAAAGAAAGAGGACCACAGAAGAAGTAAGGAATGGCAAGGTTTCCCTATGCACTGCCATCGCCCTTCCAAAAAGCTCTGAGCACTCCCAACTCAAAATGCCAAAATGGGGCTGGAGCAGTATAGCTCAGTCAGTAAAGTATTTGCATGAAGACATGAGTTTGGGCTTCCAGCAGCCACATAAAGGCTGGGCATGGTGGCGCACTACACCATGATTACTCAGTAATCCCTTTACTGAGGAGGCAGAGAGAAGGATGTTTTAACACTACCTAATAAAACTGCCTAGCTAACATGTGAGCCCTAGATTCAATGAGACCTCATCTCAAAACATAAAGTGGTGGGCAATTGAGAAAAACATCCAACACCCCCCACACACCCTTCTCTCTCTCTCTTTTTCCCTCTCTCTCTCCCTCCCCATCCCCATCCCCTTCCCCCTCCACCCCTCTATGTAATGTAAATTTTAAGATCTTAATGACAAAAATTTCACAGAGCATAGCAGTCACTTCCAAGATCAATAAAACCTTAGGAAAAAATACTCTGAATTTAGAGGTAAAGAATATTTCATTTCTACTATATCTTGAAGCTAGAGGAAAACTCAACTACAGAAGTTGAAAATGGACACATTTTAATCAATTACAGATGTGTATAAGGAAGGAAATATGTGAAATATTTAAAAAGTACAAAACCTCAAAATTTCCATATTTCCAGGTATTCAAGACTAGATTTAATTAGTAGTTCAGTTATTCAGAATAGATGTTAAGCCGGGCAGTGGTGGCGCATGCCTTTAATCCCAGCACTTGGGAGGCAGAGGCAGGTGGATTTCTGAGTTCGAGGCCGGCCTGGTCTACAGAGTGAGTTTCAGGACAGCCAGGACTACACAGAGAAGCCCTGTCTTGAAAAGCCAAAAAAAAAAAAAAAAAAAAAAAAAACAGAATGGATATTAAATATCTTAATATTTCTAAAATATTCTTAGGGCTGAAAAGATGGATCAATAGGTAGGAGCACTTGCTTTAAAACAAACATGAAGACCTGAGTTCAGAGTCGGGCAGAGGCACACAGGAGTCTATAATTCTCGAGCTGTGGGGAGCAGAGGGAGGACTGATGAGGCTTGCTGGCTACCACCTAGCTCCAGGGGCAGTGAGGTACCATCTCAAAGGAACTGAGCGGAGAGTGACAAAACAGGACACCCACTATCATCCTCTGATCTCCAAGCAAGCAGAGTGATACATGTGCCCACAAACCCATGTGCATACAAATATCATACTAAACATATACATACGTACATAAACTCACACAAACAAATAATAACTATTTCTTATAGTTTTTATATACTAAACATATATTATTTGTTTCTAATCAACTGTACATTTCCACTTTTTAAAAATCAGCTTTAATCATTTCCCACGCAGAGCAACATGCCCAAGTTCTGATGCGACTACTGCAACGCCATCTTAGCCAATGTCCTGACTCTGCTTTGAAGAGACACCCTGGCCAAGGCACGTCTTATAAAGAAAGCATTTCATCGGGGGCTTATTCCAAATTCAGAGGTTTAGTCCATTATCATCATGGTGACAAACAGGCAGAAACGGTGCTGGAGAAATAGCTGAGAGCTATATACTGATCTGCTGGCCGAGAGAGAGATGCTAGCCTTGGCTTGGGCTTTTGAAACCTCAAAGAAAGCCCATTTCACACTTCCTCCACCAAGGCCACACCACCCAATCCTTTCAAATAGTGCCACTCTATGGTGATCAAGCATTTGTATCTATGAGCCTATGGGGGACATTTTTATTCAAGTCACCACGAATACATATCTTACCCATGATTCTCTATCTATGAGAAAGACACATTACTACAGTAGTAGGGAACACTAGGAGAGTGTGAAAGACTACGACCAGGAATAGATGAGGAGCAGGCCAAGAGCCTGACTGACAAAACAGCTGTGTTTCAACAACTAAAGATACCTCCAGCTCCAGCTCTGCTCCTTTTTGCAAGGACCATGATCCTGCTTCCTCCCAGACTCTGGTCCTTCTTACTCTGATGCGGTACCACACCCCACATGATGGACCCTCCCATGATGCCAATGACAGACCCTCCTCCTCCTGGGATGATGCCCAAGGGACTGGCTCCTGGAACAGGGCCAACCACATGCCCATGATACCCAGATCTCTAATTATGAGACCTCCCATTAGCACTATGACAGTGCCCACTGGGACTGGCATGACCCAGCTAGACAGACAGAGAGCAGATGGGTTTCTTATTAGTTTGGTATTACTTGTTCTGCTTCACCAGGAGACCTCAGAGCCTGAGTGACTTTAGCTTCATGGTTTAAAAAAGGCATCCCCTTCCTAGCAAGAGAATAGTTTTGAAAGAGAGAAGTGGGATTAAAAAGGTGAAGCTGTCATTTGCATTATAAAATGTGAAAATAAAATTGTCAGCTGTTTTTTAAAATCTGTTTTAAAGTCAAAATAATTGAAACAGTATTGCTATGTGGTAGCTGAATGTTCAAATGTGCACTAGGATAAATGGGGCCCTAGGTTCAATTTCCTGTGTGTACATGTGTACACACACACACACACACCCCTCAGAAAGGTGTAGAAAAACAAACTACCTTTTCATGTTTTGCCTGCATGTATGTATATGCACTACATGCATGACTGGTTCTCATGGAAGTCAGAAGGTGTTACATCTCCTGAAAACGGAGTCATGGACATGTGAGACACCACGTGGGTACTGGAAACTGAACCCAGGTCCACTGCATGCTCCTGACCACTGGCTTATCTTTCTAGCCCAACAAGCTGCACTTTAGAATTGCCATACTGTTTTGTTTTATCTTGTTTTACCTATTTTCTTATTTACTTATTTATTTAGGGACTAGAGATTGAAACCAGGGCCCTGAGCATGTTAAGCGCATGCTCTGAACTACATTCCCAGCCTTTCTCTTTCTGATTTTACCTGCAAAAGAATGCCCTTAATGTTTAGACAACATAAAGCATACAGAGAAAAGCTTCAATTCATTCTTCTCTATATCCCTCATTTCTAACACATTGCTGATTTTGTTATTATGGGCACATCTTTTCCTATGTATTTATAGTCTACAGACATGGAAACTAGACATACAAAAAGAACATAAGAAAGCTGATAATTGCTAGTTGTATTTCTCCCGCAGCAGAACCACCAGGTCAGCAGTATGTGGGCAATTGCTTGCCTGCAACATTCCTGGAAATTCTTTCAAACAAAATCTTATATTTACAGAACACTTGAAAAATTGCTGAAAATGTCTAAATGTCAATTATTATGTATACTTTTAAAGACATATTTAAGATTTTCCTATCTTTATTAAGGCCAAGACGACACCCTCCCTTATTCCCTTTGAATGACTTACTAGTGTCAGCTTTTACCTTCTTTCACAAAGAATATTTAACTACGGCCAGGAATGGTGGCCACATCTATAAATCCCAGAACTTGGGAGGCTGACGCAGTAGAATCACCATAAATTTGAACCAACCTGAGCTACATAAAGACCTCTAGGAAAGCCTGAGGTTACACAGTAAGTTCTATATTAAGCTGGTTTATAGAGCAAAACCCTACTTCAAAACCTTCTACCTATTCGGCAGGTCCACAGCCCTGCCTAACCCCTTTCTGGTGGCCCAGCCCCCACTCTGTTTTGGCTTCATTAGTGCAGCCTCTAGCCTCTCCTGCTCCCAGCTCCAGTCAACCCAGGCCTTTACCCCACAAAAACCAAAGAGAAAACACCTGTTTATGTCAGTTATACTGAGAGCAAAATCAAAACACAGCATCAAAAGCTGTGAAACACAGCATCTGAACTTTATCAAACATTTAAGAATTTGTACAGCAGGGGCTGGAGAAATGGTTCATCAGTAAGAGCATACTGGTTCTATTCTTACAGCAGCCTGGAGTTCAGTTCCCAACACGCACATCAGATATCTCCAAATATCTCTATCTACAGCACCAGGGAATCTGCAGCCACCTGCACACATTGAATTTTTAAACCTTGTTTGTTTGTTTGTTTGTTTGTTTGTTTTAAGTATTTTCACCGGAGTCAGGCATGGTGCACACCTTTAAGGCCAGCACACGGGAGGCAGAGGCAGAGAGGCAGAGAGGCAGAGAGGCAGAGAGGCAGAGAGGCA